ATATATTAATTTAAAAAGTACATAATGACAATTCAAAAACTTTCCTACATGGATCACTATTTAGTAATATCATTTTTCACCAGATCATTTTAATCAGAAGTTTTAGGAGACAGCACAAAATTATTTTGTTATACTGGAAAAAAATGTATCAAATCCATTTTGATATAGGTAAAATTTTATTAAATTGCTTAGTCTTCCTTTGCTTACAGTTTTTACATCTGTAAATTGGGATTAATAATGCCTGGGGTCATGGTAGAGACTGTTTAACAGTGAAAACACTTTTGTAATTAAAATTAAATGCTTAAGTATGATGTAGAAGTTATTACTGACATTACTCATACTCCTTTCATTAAGAAGCAATTGTTATAAAATAATTTAATTTCTAGTATGAATATTAGCTACCTACTTGTAAGTGAAAAATGTTTTTTTGAAAGGCAATACTTAATCAAATCAGTATTTGCTTCCTCCAATAAATTGTAAGCCCTCATGTAGGTCATGAAGAAGACTGCCTTGGTCCTTACCTTTATGGAGATTATATATATGTTAAATATATGCTTTTGATGGAATTTGTAAGGAATAAACTAAGGAATGATTTTTTTTTTTTTTAAATGAGCTTTTCCTAGACTGATAGAAGAGGATGGTTTTACCACCAAGGTGGCCATATTGGAAAGGATTATTGTTTCTTGTTGTTAAGGAAAACTAGATTTACTGTTTTTAAACAGTTGAAAATTTGTGAGTTGAAACAACAAAGCTGCTTTATTTTCAATCTAAATGAGAATTTAACGTTTAACGTCATGAAGTTCTTTTCCCACAAAATGGATAAAAAAGGAGGGAAAGCAAGTTATTTTTAAAACCAATAAAGAACGAATAGTAAAACAGAATTTGTTCTTTTCCTCCCCTGCATGGCTAGGTAGTTTGTACAGGTTTATAGATCTAAGAAACTTTGTTAAGAATGACCCAAGAACTAAAATAAAGCAGAAAAGACAGAAATGTGATGTCCTTGACTTCATACTTTTCATAGAGAAAGCCTAATTAAACCAGGTTGTGTGTTAAAACTGTCACAAAGAGAAAAGATTAGGGCAGCTTCTTTAGTGTAAAGAATCCTTAACTGCTTCTTCCAGAAAACAAGTTACTGTTGAGAATATGCGGTATATTTCCTGGGTTAATTTTTACATATTTGGAAGAGTTTAAATACTTAAGAACTTGATCATTATGCCATGTGTTGTTACCAGTTTCAGTAGTGGTATGATCTGAATGTGGGAACTAGAGTTGGCTGCTTATAGAAATAAACTAGGGGCCCGGTGCACGAAATTCGTGCTCTGGGTGTGTGTGGGGGGGTGTCCCTCAGCCAAGCCTGCCCCCTCTCACATAGTGGGAGCCCTCAGGCGTTGACCCCATCACCCTCCAATCGCAGGATCGGCCCCTTGCCCAGGCCTGACGCGTCTGACAGAGGCGTCAGGCCTGGGCAGGGGACCCTCACTTCCCCCCATCACTGGTTCTGCCCCCCGCCCAGGCCTGATGCCTCTGGCCCAGGCATTAGGCCTGAGCAGGGGACCCCCAGCCCCATCCGAT